GATAGATAGATAGATAGATAGATAGATAGATAGATAGATAGATAGATGGGCTGATAGATAGATGGGCTGATAGATTGATAGACAAAAAAACAGGCAGGCAGGGAGACAGACAGATGGATAAATGGACAGACAGATAGCTAGGTGGATAGATAGATGAACAGTTGGGTAGAGAGAAAGGGACCAGATCTGTGCCTGGTGTACTGAAGAAAACTTGTACTCATACCTTCATAACTCTGAAGACACCTCTGTATCCACTATAACACATTGCCCCCCTCTCTCTCTCTCTCTCTCTCTCTCTCTCTCTCTCTGTCTCTTTCTCCCCCCTCCCTCTCTCCCTCTCTCTGTAAGATATGTATATATATGTGCATGTGTATGCATACACACAGATGTGTGTATATATGTATGTGTGTATGTATGTACATATATGCATACATACATACAAACTCCAGGGAACGGAGATAGGTACCTAATGTAGGCACAAAGTCAAACTGTGAGAATTCACAGTGCTCTTACGACTTGCTTCTGTCGATGATCAGATCATCCTGTTTTCACTAAACCTTCTGCTTCCAACAGTTGGATGAAAGCTGCCTGGCTTCACTTTCCTTTCTACAAACTTCCTTCTTAAAACTCACTCAGGGTTAAGACAGGAGGTCTTTAATCTAGAGGAAAATGACACATAAAAACCAGAAAGAAAAAAAAAAGACAACCCACCACACAACACACCTCATTACTTCTGGCACAGGATGAAGACAAGTCAGGCTCTTCAGCTGGTGATTATTGTCTATTGTTCCCTGAACAGTAAACTACTATTTAACGCTGAAAATGTTTGGCTGGAGTTATAACTAAGCAAGCAGCTCCTCATGAATATGAAGTGAAAGTCTGACCCAGAAAAGAAAGTCACAGGTAGAAAGAAAGAAAGAAAGAAAGAAAAAAAGAAAGAAAGAAAGAAAGAAAGAAAGAAAGAAAGAAAGAGAAGAGGGGAAAGAAACCTTCAAGTCCTTTTTGACACTCTCGAGTTCTGCAGACTACACACCGCACTGCCCACACCAGGATGGGGGCTCGGAGATGCAGTAGCTGCCTCAGTTGCTTGATAATTCCCCTTGCACTTTGGAGTATTATTGTTAATATCTTATTATATTTCCCAAATGGACAGACATCATATGCATCCAGCCACAAACTCACCAATTATGTGTGGTATTTTGAAGGGATCTGTTTCTCAGGCATCATGGTAAGTTGTGTTTGGGGGATTTGCACTTGTCAGGAAAATGTCTTATTCTGAAGTAAAAGTGATAAATGCTATAAGAGAGGGAGAGAGGGGCTATAATAATAGAATGGGGCCAAAGCCATGATTGGTCAAGCAACTGTTTGTAGTGTCACCTATACAAGAGATTTAAGTATAATGAAGTTAGGAGGAAATTTGACTCAGGGGATTAGAAAGTCCTTGGTAACCTAGGTTTATTTTTCATTTTTTTGTTTGTTTGTTTGTTTGTTTTAGGGTACTGGCCATCTAGATAAATTGCTGTCCTTGAGGGTAGATTTCATGTCCTAGTCTACCATTTTTTTTTTTTTGCATCTCTGTTAGTGAGAGGACCCCCTGGAGCTTCTCTAAGCAGTCTAGGATGAATTCTTTTGTTTTTAAGTCAAAGAATTAGTTGATAATTAGTATGTGACCATTTGGTAACTCTGCCCTAATCATTTGGTAACTCTGCCCTAAAACTCGGTCGGGGGTGGTGCATGGCATCAGAGATTCATAGTCCAGGAAGGGACCTCAGTGGCCATATAATACAACCCCTCTCATTTTAAAGATGAGGAAACTGAGCCTTAGAGAGGTCATGCTGCTGGAGAGCTGAGATTTGAACTCAAGTCCTCTGACTCAAATTCCATCACCTAACTTTCTACTGTCATCTCTAATTAAAAAAACATCTCTCAGATGTTACCCTTGACCATATAACATTTCCACCAACACATATGTCTTACCTTGAAACCTTCCAATAATGCATTTATCTAGAAGAGAATTTAATATAAATATATATTCAGGGTTGTTTTATTTTTTATTTTTTTCTTTTTTTTTTTGGTTTGGGAGGAAGAAGAGAGCTAGCACTGAGGTTATCAAATTTAAAAAAAGAAAGAAACAGGGTCACTGAATCATTTTTTTAATGCACAGGTGACAACAGAAGTCTATAAAGTATTGCAGACAAGCTACGTGGCTTTAAAAGTTACATGCTAAATTTTCATTTGATTATTTAAAGAAAAAAGCAAGTTATACATAATAGAGGCTCAAATTCTCCATCCAATCCATTGTCTGATCTACTGTGTATATGGAAGTGCTTGTTTTAGTTAGTGTTTGTTAAGGTCAGAATTTTTTTTAAATTAATACATGCCGGAGGGTAGGATAGAGAAATTACTTAAATAGTTTGCCTAGAAAATGTGGGATTTTCTAGTGAAATGGATACATTACAGAAGAAACATCTGTCTATCTCACTGAATGTGTGGACCCAGAGGACAGTGCTATATATAGCAAGATAGAACTGAGTTTAGATAGCAGAAAAGCAACAGACATAGCCAGTAACTGGGATCCCAGTTACGAAGAAAGAACAAAAAAAGCTTTGCTTTAAGGTCCAAGTCCTGAAAATAGAAGCATTTGAAACCTTAAAGAGAATTAAAATGCAATGTAACTAACCTCCTTTTTAAAAAACGGTTCTGGGAAAAGGGGTGGGAATCAATTGCTGTTATCTTGTATAAAGTATAAATTTGGGCCAGCTATGTCAGGAGCAGGCTGGAGCAGTAGATAAGTAAACTGAGCTTAGAGTAAGATCTGGTTTCAAATCCCACCTCAGAAACTAGTTCTGTAATGCTGAGCAAGGGTAACTCCAACTGCACATGGTTCAGGTAAGTTCCTAGGACCTGTCTCCTCAGTCAGAGATGGCTTGTGATCTACCCTGGTGAAGGGTGTTCTCATGGCCAGTTCACAAAACCATTACTTCTTGGATTTGCCAAAGGATCTGTCTCAAGGATTATGCCACCCGGGAAGCTTTGAAAATGCTTAAAATCACTAAGCGGATTAATGCAGCTGGAGTTTAGATAGCGGAGACTAGGGGTAGAGACTCTACTTGTCCTTCCAGTAGACTAGGGAACTCTAAAATGAGGAAGCTGCTTCTACAAATTCAGCCCAGTAATGTCTCTGCAACTTTGTCATCTCAGGGTTGCCTTGGGCACAGAGAGGGCAAGAGATTTGCCCAGAGTCACAGGGATAGTATGCGTTCGAGACTAGACTTGCACTTAGGTCTCCACAACCAGCTTTCTACGACATGCTGTCTCTTTAGATGGTGAACTCTAGAAATTCTGACTACAAACCTAGAAAAGTGGAAGTCAACTCAGCTTATGTTTCCTGCATGAAGTTAATGTTTCAGTGGAGAATTCTCTCAGAATTATGAGCCCACGATACTTTGGGACACAAGTCAGGGGCTTGGAGTGATAAACAAATCAAAGTTCTTGTCAGAGATTAAACCTTATGTCTACAGACCATGGAGTGAACTGAATTCATTGGTTTATTTGATGTCTGTAGACAAGTAACCTGGATAATTCAGAGAACCCACTTCATTTTATTTCTTGAATTATAGCTACAGCCTGAGTCTCAGAGTACCTAGATGTTAATATATTGAAGGAGACAGCCTGGTAAACAAAAGCAAAACTTCAAGTGAATCATTTTCCCACATACACAGACTGAGTCAGTGAGAAAATGGGAAAACCTAGCCTGGATGCTAAATCCCCACTCTCTCATTAGTCAATGAGACTAGTCAGTTAGTCAATGGCCATTAGTCAATGGCCGTTTCCTCCTCCTTTATCATTGTTCTGTCATTTTTCAATCGTGTCAGATTCTTCCTGACTCCATTTGGGATTTTCTTGGCAAAGATACTAGAATGTTTTCCATTTCCTTCTCCAGCTCATTTTACGGATGAGGAAACTGAGGCCAACAGGGTTAAGAGACTTGCTCAGGTCATGCAGCTAGTATCTGAGGTCAGATTTGAACTCAGGAAGATGAATCTTCCTGACTCCAGGCCCAGCACTCTATCCACTCTATCCACTGCTCTATCTAGCTGCCCGTTATCATTAGTAGTCATAAAGGAAAAGTTACTTTTGAAGATATGCAATCTGATGACTACAGGGGGCAAAGGTGTCATTCTTAAACCTTTCACCTCTTTTCTCCTCCAGATGCTTATAGTAGCTGCAGCTCTCTTAGTATTGGAGAGGGATACACCATATAAATGCTGTCAGAGTGAGAACTGCAACAAAAAATACATGGTAAGGACAGAGTCTGATGTTGTTGCTTTCTAAGTAGATTTTCTTGTTGCTATTTACAGGTTTCATTTGTGTCTGGCTCTTTGTGCTCCCATTTGGGGTTTTCTTGGAAAAGATACTAGAGTGGTTTGCCATTTCCTTCTCCAGATCATTTTACAGATGAGGAAACTGAGGCAAAGAAGGTTAGGTGACTTGCCCAGGGTCATACAGCCAGGAAGTATCTGAGGCTGGATTTGAACTCAGGCCTCTCAGATTCCAGGCCCAGCACTCTATCTAACCCTAAATTCACCACCTAGTTGCTTCTTCTAAGTAGGTTTAGGTTCTATTTACTTTCCTCAGTTAGGCTGTATCTGCAGAGAATGCTAAGATAGTAATAATACATAATGCCTTAGTATATTCCAATTTCCATAACTGAACAACTAAAGTCTGGTTTCAAGACTCATTACTCATTTAAAAAAGCCAACAACTAAGTATTTTGAAAGAATTAAAATCTTAGTTACACAATTTTCAGTAATACCATTTAAGAATCCAAAGAGAGGGGGTTTGATAGGAAAGTTTGTTTCCTCTCCCCTGGGCAATTCTGTAAGCAAACTTCTCCCCATAGGGTACGGACATGACTACCCATGACTACGGGCAAACCAATTTGGCATATCAACAAAAGGCCTATGAATGTCTCCTACTCTCCAGGAGGGCAGATATGCTCCTCAAAATGAAATGGACAACCCCATTTAATGGATTAATAGGAGTATAGATTTAGGGCTTGAAGGAAATGTGAAGGTCCAGCTTCCCTTATTTTAAAGATGAGGAGACTGAGGCCCAGAGATATTAAGTGATTTGCCCACATTCACATAGGTAGTAAGTAGGAAAGCAGTAGTCTGAAAAAAGGTCTGGGACTTTTAATGGACTGCAAGCTCAGTATAGGTCAACAGTGTAATACAATAGCCAGGAGAGATAGTATAAATGGGTGGAATATGAGTGAGTGGTAGAAACAAGTCTAGAATTTCAGCTTCCCACTCCCTCTTCAGGTCTGTAGAATCACACCAGCCAGAACCTGATTTCTTCCTGACCTAAGGTATCAAACTTACAATCATATTATACTCCTTGTGAAGTAAGCTTATTGCTGTTGACATTAATGAAAGTTGATGGCAAAAAGATCTGGGGCCCCAAGGATAGAGATACAACTTAATTCAGTTCAATAAACATTTATTAAGTACCTATTATGTTCCAGGCACTGTGCTAAGCACTGAAGATATAAAAAGAGGCAAAAGACAGTTCCTACCCCCAAGAAGCTTACAATCCAATTGAGATGACATGCAGACAAATGTGTACAAACTAGCTGTCTGCAGAATAAAGGTCTTTAAAAGATTCAATATTCTTTTATTCCTCAATAACAAAAATCATAATTGTGAAAATTCAAAAGTTAACTATTGTTGAATTTTTTTTGTAAATGTCTTATTATGAGAAATAAATGATAAATTGCATTAAAATAAAAAACTAACATGATCTTGGGCTCTACTAAAAGATAAAAACTTATCTCCCAAGAATGAGAAGATAGCCCCAGTCAGCCCACATCTGTAGTATCATGTTTATACCTGTGCGCCATATTTTAGAAAGGACATTGATCATTCAGAGGAGGGCAAAGGATGAGGAAGAGTCTTGGGTCCATGCTATAGGAAGGGTAATGGAAGGAGCTGGGAATATTTAGCCTGAAGAAGAAGTGGTTTCTGGGTATAGGATAGCTTTCTTCGAATATCCCAAAGTCTACCAGATGGAAGATTTAAAAACTGGTTCTCTTTGACAGAACTAGGGAGAACTAGGAAAATGAAAAGGAGAAATGGCATTCTGGGTCTTGGGAGAGTCTAGCCTTCCTGACTGTTGTCCTGACACTGAACTTGGATGGCTCAGGAAGAGTGACGCTGATGACTTTGTGCAACTCTGCCTCACTTGAATGCAATTCACGAGTGAGTAAAGACATTACCCATGATGTCATTGATCCTCTTCAAAAACAAAGGACAAACAACCGCACCTAAGCATGACAAAAGGAAAAATTCCCCCATGATCAGAGCAATCCCAAAGTGAACTGAGCTATGTTGGGAGGGAGAAGCTTCCTTCTCTTTCACATCTTTAAGCAAAGGCTTAATGATTGCCATCAAAAACAAACAAAAAACATATGCCACAAGGAGAATTTGTTATTGTTTTCTAGATAGGTTTGGGTTTCGGCTTATCTTCTTTCTCGGACTGAGGTTTCTTCTAATGCTAAACATCTGTGTGTATGTGTATGTGTGTGTGTGTGTGTGTGCATGTGTATTCATTTTTAATATACTCCCAAAGTTTTGTCTTCCATCTTGCCTCTACAGTTCTGTCTCTACACTTTCATCTTCCAGCCCTGCCCATTGGGTAACCTTGGATCAATGAAAAAGATGGCACAGTATAGGGGGAAAGCCCTGGATTTGTCATCAGAAGTCCCAAGTCCCTGGTTGCTACCAGTGTGACCTTGGGTAAGTTACCCAAGGTCTCTGAGGCCATTTCTTCACCTGTAAAATGGGCTTGCATTTCAATTCAAATATTCCATGTTATGCTATCATATAGGCCTAGAAGCAGTGGAGACAGTAGTAATACCTAGGCTAGCCTTCCAAGAGCTAGGGAAAGAAAGGGAGAGGGGAAAGACAAGGAGCCATGCATTGGGTGTTTGAGCTAGGGATTACACAAAAATAAGATATTCTCTCTTTTTTATCTCATTATTATTATTTGTTCTCTAGTCCTGGGTAAGGGCCTTTTCTAGGAATAGACATGACAGCTAGAAGCACCTGGGAAACAATTATCATCTTAGCCAGGATGCTGAGTCTTAGATAAAAAAGAATACTTGAGAGACAGAGGAAACTTTTCTAATCTCCAACCCCCAAAAGGATATCTTACTACCACCTTTCCTAGGGAGAATCCTAAGAATCACATTGATATTTCCTTTCCAGAAATCATTTAGCTAAGTGAATGATGTCTGGCTGGTGTTATTGCTGTTTGTTTGTTTGTTTGAATTTGCTAACTTAGTAGAGACAGAACATATGGTACTTAATATTTTGGGAGTTAGTTTGAGGATCATTTCTATCATCCTAGAAAACCTATTAAACATTTTTTCTATATATCTTGGCAAGTTTGCTAACCCTTTAAAAGAACAAATTCTTTCTTAATCTGGGCACTAGGGTGAATTTGTCGTGCTCTGCTCATTCCATGTTTTAATAATGATACGATAAATCTGGAATTATAGAACATCCAATTTTCTCTGATGAGGAAATTGAAACTCAAAGAGATGGACTTGATCAAGGTCAAGCGATAAGCTAATGCTGAGCCAAGCCTTCTGACGAAGTCCTGGGCTCTATCCAAAGAATATCCTTCCTTTTTTTTTTTTTCATTGAACATTAGTAAACAACCAGACACAGGAAATTTTTCTATTTTTGAAAAAGAGAAGGGGAAAGATGGGGGTGGGGAGAGGGAGAAAGGGAAAGAGAGGAAGAAGGGAGATGGAAGAAGGGAGGGAGAGAGAAAGAGGTGGGGGGAGAGGGAGAGAGGGAGGGACAAAAAGAGAGGAAAGAAGGGAAGGGAGGGGAAAGGAGAAAGAGTGAGAGGGAGCAAGGGAGAGAAGGGGGGAAGGAGAGAGAGAGAGAAAGAGAAACAGGGAGAGAGACAGAGACAGGGAAGGAAGGAGAAAGAGAGAGAGAGAGAGAGAGAGAGAGAGAGAATAAGTATAGATTTGGAGCAAACAATAAATGACCACACAATTAACAAATGTTATTAAGTGTGTCAGGAAGAAAGTTCCCCTCACATCCTTGTGAAATCTATTCAAATTTGTACTTAAATCTATAAATAGATTTTTCATACTAGAAAATACAACTGGATAGCCTGAAGCGTATTTTGGGAAATTATTTCCATTCAATCACCTCCCTTTTCCCAGGCTCACCTAAGAGTTGATACTATACATTTTAATCAACAAATAAGTATATATTGGGTACCAGGTAATGTATTAGATGCAAAAAAGGGAAGATTTTGCTGTGATGATAGGAAAAGAGACTTGATTTCTGATTTCACTGGTATGGGGAAGTCCCAGGTGAGAAAACTCCCTCTTTCAATGCAGGTCAGCACTTTGTTTGTGACTTAAATGGTCTTAGAGGATAAATGACCTGCCCAGGGTCATTCAATCAGTATGAGCCAGAGGCAGGATTTGAATCCAGGTCCTCCAGACTTCAAGGCCAGTTTACCATCCACTATACACTCTGTGGAAAACTTAACAAATGTTAGTTGATCAGATAAGTGAAAACAGAACATATATAGAGTAATTTCTGAGGTGGAGAACTAATAAATGGGAAGATCAGCTAAGGTCTCTTATAGTAGATGGAACCTTAGGTTGTCAGACACATTGATCTTTCCAATTTGGATGTAAAGTCCTCAAGAACAAGACTGTGTTTTCTACTTCCATGTTTCCCCCCAAGGCATAGTACCTTGAACATAGTAAGGGCTTAATAAATTGTTGATGGTTAATATGAATCCCTTCACAATGTCTGGGCTAGAAATTAGTCTTATGACCTGCATAACACTAGACTACAATTTGGCCAGTCATACAAGATTGGTTTACATGATGCCAAACTAAAAGATACTTTAAAATGGACTTTGCAACTCATTAGAATCATAACTTGGGTGTCATGACTGGTGCTTTGTCTCTGGGTTTCAAATTTAGAAGGTGTACTTGAAACCCTCAGCAACTGGAAACAACAGAGTTCAGCACCTAGTTAGCAAAAACAACTAAAATGCAAAGTTACCAAGATGGCAGGCTATAAAGTCCTTTGTCCCCTTCACTTCTACTCACCCTCAGTTTCTCAATTGAGGAAAAGCTTCATGTGGCTTTCCCCAGGCACAGATGTTGGTGCTTGCCCAGAGTTCAAAATTACTAGTTACAGATTTTTAGATTAGACATTTGTTTGTTGAGACTTTACACAATGAGGTAAGTTCAAGCTAGATTGAGAAAGGAGGTACCTGTATGATAATTCACTGGAAATACCTTCTCTCTTGTTTAATGTCACTAAAATTCTTCTATATTTAATTTAGAGTTTACTCTCCATTATCTTTTCTGTCCTTGGAATTGCTTTCTCCGGATATTGCTTGGTGATATCAGCACTGGGCTTAGTGCAAGGACCATACTGCCGTACCCTCAATGGCTGGGAATATGTTTTTGAAGATACCACAGGGAGGTAAGATGTAACCTCCCAATTCATGGAAGCCAGGGAAGACATCTAGCATTTACCCACTGGTTCATAACTCCTATTCGTATTCATTGTTCAATGCAAATTAATTTGTAACAAATTGAAAAGTAAAAATGGACCCCCAAAATGGTAACATTTGTTAACAGATTCAAACATAAAGAGGGCTATTTATTGTTCATAGACAAATCTATACATATTTAGGTTTTCCCCCCCAATCATTGGAACCCATGGTTATTCAGTGCTTAGAGGTTATCAGAAAGCTATAAGAGAAACATTTTGTCAATGCCCTAGAATGGAGCTTCCCCGGGGCAGGTAAGGGCAAGGTAATATTAGCCTGATGTAAATTATAGGTTAGTGAGGGAGCTAGGATGTAAGTTTAGTTGCGTCCTGTCACGTATGGGTCAGATTGCTTTTCCTTCATTGGCACAGACAAATGCGAGAGGCTACATTCCAAGGTGGATAGAGTACTCAGTGGCTGGCAGTCAGGAAAACCTGCATTCTTCTGACACTTCTTAGCTCTGTGATGCTGGTCAAGTCATAAGACGGCTCAAATCTCGTTTTCTGGAAAGATCTCTCTCCCATTCCTTGACCCTATTCCAAATGCTAGCAACCTGCCTCTCCAATTACTTTGCATCTGTTCTATGTCTATCTTGAATGTATCCATTTATTTACATATTGTCTCTTCCTTTAGAAAGGAATCTCCTGAAGGGCAAGAACTTTCTTTTTTTTTTTTTTTTTGGTCTTGCTTAGCACAGCTCCTGGTAAATAGTAAGGGCTTAATTATTGACTGACTTTATTTACTGAGTCAGTTGCGATCACTGCCTCATTGAAGGAAGTTCCCACACTATCACACCTGGCCATTACCTTTTGGCAGTGAGGGGAGAAAGGCCATAGTGGGACAAGTAGGAACAATAGCCTAGGCTCCTGCTTTGGGAGATCTCACATGGCTGGCAGCTGGTCAGTGACCCAGAAAGGCAGTCAAATGGAAGAAGGAGGAAGTGGGGAAGGAAACCTGAATCACCCACAGGCGATTGCTCTCTGTCTTTGTTTCCAGTCCCCCACCTTGAGCCTTGATTTTGTCTTCATGTTCCCCCAACCCCCATCAGCACCTTTGTTCTTAGTACTCACCTTCAGGACAAGGAAGGTATTCATTCTATGCTTCATTCAGCACAAAATTTTCATAACTGAGGCCCTGACCTTTTCATATTTACAGTGGTGAAAAAGCCTCAGCCCTGAATTTGGTTTCATAGGGTATCAGGTAATATAATGCCTCTTCCAACAAAATGGCTTATAGAGAGGAAAATTTGAATTTGCCTGTCAAGGGAGTCTTTGCAGTGAGATGCTTAATCATGCAAACACAGATTTGAAAAAAAGAAAAAGAAAGAAACCAAGCCTAATGCCACAGTTACATTGAGGCAGAACAAGAAATGAGTCAAAAAGTCTGGCCAATGGATTAAGCATGTCTTAGGAGTCCGTGGGGTAGGAGGGTGATTTTTTGGGTCCCTGCCCTTAGTTAGATTATGGTCAATTATGTTGACTGAGCAGGAGGGTAGAATTACAATATTGGAAGAGATCTCAGAGGTCAACCCGTAGCTGAAAAAGGATTTCCCCCCCACTCCCACATATACCCCAAAAGCGGCCATTCAGCCTTCCCTTGAAGACTTCCAACTATAGAGCACTCACAAAGGCAGGCACTCTTCTTTGAACTTGGAAAGGTTAGGATGTTTTTCCTGACAGCTGCAGGAATGTGCCTCCACCCATTGCCCCTAGGTTTTGTCTCTTTGGAAAGAGCTTTTTGGCCTATCCTGATTCTACCATGATCTCACAGACCCAGGGGCGTTAGTAAAATTGAAATGGTGTAACTCAGGACCGAGTACAGAAATGTTTGCCCAATTTTTTTGACCATTGTATTATGTTCCTGCATGTGGCCAGCCCTACTCCTATATCCTCTGAGACCACTCCAACCCACAGTGATCTCTCCCTACTCTGAACTCCTAGAGAATTCATTGCTTCTTCCATTCCTTTGGTACTTATTTGTACCCAACCTGTGGTAGAGCCTTCTGAGCTTGTATTGGTCTGATCAGCCGTGGTTGGACACACTGTACCTTGACCCCAACATAGTGATGTCATTTTGGTCCTATTCAAGAACAGAGGACAACCAACCAGTTTGATCATGTATCAATCTATGTTCCTATTGAACAAAGAGGGAGGAGAGGCAGTGTGGTATGGAGGATAGAAGACCAGATTTGGAATCAGGATTCCAATCCAGAGCTCTAATCCCATCACAACCTTCCCTGGCCTCAGATCCCTTATCTAGAAAATGAGGAGGCTGGATTAGATGATTCTAAAGGCCTAAATCCCAGCTCTAAATCAATGATCCCATAAGAGGTGGGTAAAGAGCTGGTTTCAAAGTCCAGAAAACCTGATTTTAAGACCCACCTCTGAGAGATCTTAGCTCTGTGAGCCTGGGAAAATCATTATGCCTCTAGACACCTCTCTGAGGTAATAAGTTCAAGAGAAGGTACCAGCTTGTATTGGTAGAGGGAGTTCCCTCACCCAGGAATTCCTAATACCAAAGAAATTATGGGTCCAGGCCCTCTTTCCCTCCTGTCCTCTAGTCTTTGATTGCAAACTCCTTGAGGGTGGGGACTAAGTTTATCCTATTTTTTTTTTTTGTACAACCCACACCAGCTAGCACAGTGCAACAAATATAGAAAGAGCTTAGAAAATGCCTGTTGCTGAATGTTAAGACAGCTTTAAATTTTTCATTTACTTCTGCATCATTGTGGATGGTATAGAAATGAATTAGTTCTCAGTCTCATTTTGCCCCTTTTCTCCTCTGTTCCAGTTTCCTCAGTGATCCTAGCACCTGGAGACGGTGCCTGGAGCCCGCTCATGTTGTCGAATGGAATATTATTTTATTTTCTATTCTTATAACACTCAGTGGTCTCCAAGTAATCATCTCTCTCATCAAAGTCATCATTGAACTCAGCAAGATACTCTGTACAACCTACTCAGTCATAATTCAGGTAACCTGCTCCTGAAATTCCATAGGCTCAGAAGGCCAGAGGGAGCCAGGACTTCTCTGTCTCTGAAACTCACCTCGTTCATCTGGTTTCAAAGTTCTGTAAATTGGTTTTTCACTTTTTTCCTCAAATCCATCTCTTCATTTCTGTTTCTGCTGACACTTCCCCAGATTAGACCCTTATCACCCACCCAATGTCTAGGATATAATAAACTGCCTCCTAACTGTCTCCCTGCCTCTGGATTCTCCTCATCCAACCTGTTTTGGAAAGGCAGAATGGTGCAGTGAGTTCTGCATCCCTTCTGCCTGGACTTCCTTCCCAGCCCCTACACTCTCCAGTCTCTACCTATGGAAATGTTACCCATCCCTCAATGTTCAACTCAAATACCTCTCCTCCTCTTCTTGCTTCTCCTCCTTCCCCTCTTTCTCCTCCTTCCCTTTCTCTTCCTCCTTTCCTTCCTTCTCCTTCCTCTCCTCTTCTTTCCCTTCCTCCTCCTTCTCCTCCTCTTCTTGCTTCTCATCCTCATCCTCCTCCCCCTTTCTCCTCTTTCCCTTTCTCTTCCTCCTTCCTTTCCTTCTCTTTCCTCTCCTCCTCTTCCTCCTCCTTCCCCTTTTTCTTCATGATTTCTTCTTGCATCCCTTCCTTTTCTTCATGCCTGCAGCCCTGCAAAAAGTTATCTGTGCATATGTCTTGTAAGAATGTTTTGCATTATTTCATGTACATGATGGGTATTGTACTTCTTGCTTTCTCAATGGGTGAAGGAAAGAGTGAAGAGAGGGAGAGAAGGTGGAACTGAAAATAAAAATAAAATAAAATATGTCTTATAAGAGGCAATTTGGTATAGAGGAAAGTGTGCTGGACCTGGAATCTGGAGGACCTGGATTTGAATCCTGTGTGCCATGGGCAAGTCACTTAGCTTTTCTGATCCACAGTTTCCTCATCTGTAAAACGGAGATCCTAAAACAAAGAGTAGGTAACTCCTAGGCTAGTTCTGAGGATCAAACAGGCTCAGAAGGTAAAGCACCATTTAAAGCTAATCATGACTATTGTTATATAGTATTATATAGTATAATAATATTATATTTCCTGCCAGCTTATCAACTTTTTGACATCGGGGCCTGGACATTTTTGTGGCCCTCACAAGCACCCTACATATTCTCAACAAGCACTTGGTAAATGGATGAACAAAGATTATAGAACTTCTGAATTCCAAATTGTCTAGATTTGGGAAAGCAAGGCACTCATCATATATTCTATAATGTCTCCAGCATTGCTGAAACTACAGTAACCCAGTATAGGAGGCAGGGGCCCAAATCCTGTCCTTGAGAAAGTTGGCTAAAATCAGCTACTTCTGTTCGTGGCATTGAAGGCTTCCAGGAACTGAAGGGAAGTTAGGTCACTTGCATCATAAGTGGCCTCATCTCTCTGAAGTCATCACTTCTAGACTTGATGGAGATATGAAAAATGCTATATACTTTGGACAAACAACTCAGGATCCTTCCCCTGAAGGTAGGGAAGGCTGGATCTGACAATGGTGTTACCTAAGCCAACTTGCTAGAACAATTTGGAGCTGTGTGCTTTGCCAATTAAATGGGTATCAGTGAGCAAGCATCTATTAAGCACCATTTCTGTGCCAGACACTGTGTTAAGCTCTGAGGATACAAAGAATGCAATTGTGTGGGGTGTGTGTGTGTGTGTGTGTATGTGTCCCCGCTTTCAAGAAGTTCATAGTCAAATGGGAAAGACAACATGAGAACAACTAGATACAAACAAGATATGGAGGCAGCTAGATGACTCAGTGGATAGTGTATGGCCTGGAGTCAGGAAGACCTGAGTTCAAATCTGACCTCAGCCGCTTACTAGCTGCATGACCCTGGGCAAGTCACTTAACCTCTGTTTGCCTTAATCCACTGGAGAAGGTAATGGTAAACAAGTCCGTTATTTTTGCCAAGAAAACCCCATGGACAGTGTTGGTGTGTTGTGTGTTCCACAGGGTCATGAAGAGTAGGACACAACTGAACAACATCATTTTGAAATTCCTTCTTCCCTCTGCTAAGTAGACAAAGCCCAAAGCCCAAGGAAACACTTCCCTGTAGTTGAGAGTTCCTAGGATGACAGGTTTGTGGACGAAGAACTGGGGAGGATCTCAGAAGCCATATAGTTCAACCCACTCACTTAACAGATGAAGAGACTGAGGCCCAGAGAAGTGACTTGTTTATGGTAGTAAATGTCAGAGGCAGGATTTGAACCCAGGTCCTGGCTTGGCCAGATTATCAAAGCTGAAAGCCTTTCTTTCAGGTTTACCCACTGGATATATTGGTGAGTACTTTAGAAGGTGAAAAAAATAAAAGAGATTTCCTTATTTCATCCTACCAAAGTAGCTGCATCTCTTAAAATACTAATATATTAATAAGGTCAGTGGATGTCAAAACCTTTTTGTTAGCAAGGTCTAACCAACAGAGAGATCATTCAACTGAAAAAAAAAATGCTAAAAAGGGGGGATCTGTGGTAAAGAATGGTTTAATGAATGCTCTGTTAGCAAGAAAGAAGAGCATTGATATTTCAGGAAGTTCAGAAGTCCCAGCATTTAATTTGTAATGTCTTTCTTAGTGTTGAGTTTCTCCAGATAAATAGATTCCTTCTTATCTCTTCCCCCTAAACAAAGAAACCTTTTTTCTCGGGTTTATGTCTAAACTACTGCATGATTCTCTGTCATTCCTTAAGCCAGATTTACAACTTTACCTAACTTGCTTTTTCTTTATTTCTCCAGCCTGGAATCATTTGAAGTGAGAAGAGTCCTTTCTATGAGCTCCAGGCCATCAGCCTCAGCTGTATAGACATGTGGATACAGATACAGATCCAAATGATGTGATCTCTTATTGAGGCTCCTCATTCTTCCTCAGAGCTACCCCCAAACCTCACTAAGACTCTTAATCAGTTAGTCAATAAGCATTTATTATGCATCCCCTATGTGCTAGGCACTGCGCTATGAGCTAATCACAGGCTCGTAAATCTAGAACTGAAAAATTCCTCAGTGACCTTCTAATACAACCCCCTTCATTTTACAAAGGGGGAAAATGAGGCTTAGGGATCTTAAGTGCTCACACATGTAGTGAGAGTCAGAGGAGATTTGAACCCAGATCTCCTGACTAGAGGCCAGTGCTGTTTCCACTGTACCATGATACCTCCCTTGATCAGTCTGTCCTTTCATTTTATTCTGATCATTACCAACCCTGACAGGCAAGAGATGGAGGGGAAGGAAAGCAAAACGTATGGGATCTATAAAATCTCCGCACATGTATCACAATAAAATCTTTTAAAGAAGTTTTTTAAAAGTTGTATGGGCTCCCTTTGTTTCTTTTTAAATACCAAAGACATCACATCATATCCCACCATAGAAACCTCCTTCATCACAAGGAAGAACCGTAGAGGAAAACCAACCAACCCAATGATGACGTATGCAATGTTCTGCTCTCTCTCTCTCTCTCTCTCTCTCTCTCTCTCTCTCTCTCTTTCTCTCTCTCTCTCCACTGAGAGCAGGAAAGTGTGCCTCATCAGTCATCCTACAAGAACCGTATTGGTCATGGCCTTTAATCTGAGTCTAGCTGCCTTTATAAATGTTTAATGTTGTTTTCATTTATACTATCTAGTTTTACTTGACAAAGGAAGTAGTGGTCAAGATAAACTTGAAATCAAATGCAATCACTTTCATTCACTCACACTTTCCTGGCTTGATCATCATGGCTAGTCTAGCAGTTACCTGTATCATAGAAGGGGCTGATAAGTTCACTTTGGAAGAATTCTCCCCTCTCTTGCCTGTACCTTATCACCCTGAACATCTTGGAAAGTCACTACCTGACACCACCCAGGGAATTGACACCAATTCCCCTTTCAAGCACATAATTCACACAGTTACCAGGAAGTTTTATTGAAAGAATACATTGATCTTACACCAGGTATCTTGAAAAGTGACATCACCTATTAATGGACAATGCCTTCAGAACATTTATATAGTCTTGGTCACAGTCATGAGTAGGTAAGATCCCTAGAAAATGTCATCTCATTCTTCATGGATTTAGAAATTTTGGGCATTGCTGCCCACCTGGTTTCTCCTGCAGAGTGGCATCGCACAACCAACAAGTACCTTCAGAAGGTGCTCTTAGGCACAGCCTGAGATTTCCTAATATAGTGAATCTTTCTCCATCATTGGGCACCAATTCCTCCTATTGTGGCTTTCAGAATTTCTAGACCATATACATGGAGCAGGATTTAAGTATGTTTGGATGCCACATTGACTTCTATTCAAACAACTGCCCAGTTGTACATTACCAGCCAGAGATGGGCAGCTGCCCTGACAAACTACATCTGGAAGGAGATAGAATTCTTTGTGCATCGTAGCTTTAGTAACATAGTACAAAACTAGAGAATTCTCTTAATTCAGTCTATTCTTTGTTACTACTCTTGTTGACTCTGGCCTTACAATTGCTTATCTTGGAAGCCAAGCTTCCACCACCCTCAGTCTCCTAAGGCATTCCAGGCACCAAATATCACCTTCAAACACGATGGCGACACACTATTGTTTTTGCTTTTTCAGACACTCAGGAGAAGTGTCTTCCCTTCATGTGAATATCATAGGATCATAGATTTTATAAGCATTTTTAGAACTAGAAGGGGTGTTAGAGGTCATCTAGAATAAGCCCTTTATTTTACAGATGAGGAAACTGAGGCCCAGGGAGTTTAAGTGACTTGACCAAAATTATACAAGTAGCAAATGTCAGAGCCAGGATTTCAACACATGCCTGCCCTCTGATTCAAAAGCCAACACTTTCTCCATTATACCAGACTGCTCACTTGTTCAAGAGCTGAAAAAGCATCCCATTAACATCATTTAAATTCCAAAGAATCTCACTGAGGCAGCTAGGTGGGGTTATTCAAATCTCCCTAGGATGTTACCATCCATGTGTAATGTTGTAGAAACAATACACCATGGTGGTTACTTAGTACACATTCTCTCTTTGGAAGGTGGAGGAAAGTCAATTAGTGAAGTCAAAAAGAAAGCATTTATCAAGATAGTATGTGTGTGTGACGGGCACTGGAAAGGAAAGGAGGAACAGTCCCTATAGAATAACTATACTCCCTCCCCCCAGTTAAAAGTCTTTGTAGTTCCAGCAAATTCTGCCAGATACTGTATGCAACAATGACATAAAATACATTCACAGAGAGTAGATGGCATTTAACATTTGTGCATGGCAAATTTATATTCAGTCCTATATCTACTCTATCTTTTCATCCCTGCCCGCTCTCCCCTGTCCCAATCCAATGCAATATTCTGCCTTTTTTAGTAAATACCTACTTGTTACACAGATGGCATATTGTCTTTTTTAACTCCAGAGTCTAATAAATTAGCCTAGTCCCCAGTTGGGTAATCAAGACACTTCTGCTGTGACTTCTCACTTCAGAATTTTCAATGTCTGTATCATTTGTGCTGGAAAAATTGTCTTTGGGTCAGTTGGCCAGCAGCTGTTGAGGATTATCAGGACTGGTTGCTGTCTCTAGGTGTTTGGAAGGTTAGGTATCATATACAATTCCCTTTCAAAATGTCAACAATGGATACCTTCTGACTCCAGGGTGGGTAGGACTGTGAATATAGGTTAAAGTGAGCAAATCACTACTACATGCTGCCCCTGTCTTTCCGATTCCCTTTCCAACAAGAATATAAGCACGCCAACTCAAATGTTTATGCTTCAAGTAAACAGATCAAATTGTTGGCATCTTCCTCTGTACATACTAGGAATAACTCATACTGAATCGGCTCATGCCGACTATCAAGTCAGCTACATTGAAAGGTCAGCAGACCCTGAACTGTAGCAGACCTAGGATTTCCTCTCAAACTAGCTGTCCAGAATAATAAATGAGGGCTCTTGGGATTATTTTTGGTGGGCTCTAGGTAGTAACAGTTGCCTTTGTATTCTTTGAATGGTCCCTCTTACTGGAAATTAGCATTTGGAGATGCCAAATATTCCATGGATAAATTCCAAATTTAGATTCATTGGAGTCAAGTTTAATCTCTTTCAGTTATTTCTTTCCATTTTATTAAGAGGGAAAAAACATGTATGTCTAGAGGTACAACTTGTAAGTACATCACTTTGTATGTGCACTCAACACTTATCCATTGCCCATCATTCCTGTTCAGTCCTGGTGTAGAGGATTGACTCAAGACTGTGTTTGCTTCTATTGAAAACTCTTAGCTTCCAGTATAGTAGATAGAGAGCTGGAACAGTGGATAGAGAGGAGAATCCAAGAGGGTAGAATCTATAGTAGACAGAGATCTGGAATCCAAGTCAGGAAGACCTGAGTTCAAGTTCTCCTAACTGTGAGACACTGAGAAAGTCACTGAGAGGTCTCAGCTTCAGTTTCCTCATCTGTAAAATAAAAATAATAATAGCACTTACCTCACAGGGTAATTATGGGAATCAAATGAGATACTGAATATAAAACATTTTGTAAACCTTAAGTTGCTTTATAATATACTACTATACATACTATGTATTACTATACTACTATACTACTATACTAATATACTAGCTATTGTTATCTCTCTCCTCCATGGTAGTACTCCCAATGATCTTTCCATTCCTTGGGTACTAGGAAGTTCCCAAAATCAGACTCCTTAGAATCTACCTGATGATTCAGAGAATAAGAGTCACTTGAGGTCCATAAAAATTAAGCTCTACATGCTGAGACTTCCCTGGGGTCAAGCTGAAGGATCAAAAAGTAACCTGAAAATGATGGACTGAAGAAGACTTCCATGTGCCCTATTAGCCGTTAGTACTGTTTTTTCTCTTCTGATTAGAATCTGCACAGGAAGCTTGGATGGTCAAGCTTTTTTTATTTTTTTATTTTTTATTTTTAGGCAATTGGGGTTAAGTGACTTACCCAGGGTCACACAGGTAGTAAGCGTCAAGTGTTTGGTCTGAGGCCGAATTTGAACTCAGGTCCTCCTGACTTCAGGGCAAGTGCTCTATTCACTGTGCCACCTAGCTGCCCCAGATGGTCAAGTTTTTAATTCAGGAGCTGGCTGTCTGAAGTATTCATCCATACTCTAAGAAGTTTGAGTCTGTCTCAATTAAAACTGAAGTTCCAGAAATATTGCTGGGGTCTGAATACACCAAAAAAATTGTGACTTCTTCACTGATGCCAACGGTATCCTTTGGCAATTACAGACTCAAAAGGGTCTCTCTCTGTCATGAGTAATTATTGCCACTAAGGTTATCAAAACTTAGTTTTTTCAGAGACTATACAGGCATATACCTCCACTTCTGAGCCTAAAATAATTGACACTTCATGGTTACTGGGGATATACCACCTGCCACCAGGTAGGCTCAATATCTTTAGTTCTTATAGTTACTTCTGTTGTGGTTATTGGAATCTTAGTAAGGGGGCAGAGCCAAGATGGCAGAGTAAAAGCAGTGACTTGCTTGAGCTCTCCCCCAAACCCCTCTAAATACCTATAAAAAATGTCTCTAAACAAATTCTAAAGCAGCAGAACCCACAAAAAGACAGAGTGAAACAAATTTCCAGCCAAAGACAACCTGGATGGTTGATCGGAAAGGTATATCACGCTGGGTGGGGAGAGGAGTGCAGTTTGGTGTGGGCACACAGTCCGCAGCGAACTTGGAGCAAGCGTCAGAGGACTGAATTGCAGGCAGCTGAGGTGGTTTCCAGACTTCTCAACCCATGAAGGCCAAAGACAGCTTAGATAGGACCATTCATTCATTGGAGTGTTTGAGTATACCCTTTGCATTCCCAGCACTTAGCACTGTATCTGACACATAATAAGTACTTAATAAATGCCTATTGATTGATTAACTTCAAATCCAAATTCTTCTGATACTTCATTGAATTACTCAGTTATAATTTCTTATAATACAATAAAAGTGAATTCTATTCAAAAACTACAGTTACTCATTCATTCCCCAACTGATGGACACTTAATATGTTTCCAGTTTTACTATTATCCATTGTGTTGCTAGGAATACTTTTAAACAGATAGACCTTTCCTCTTATGAATAATCTCTTTGGAGTATTGGTCTAAATAGTGGGATTATTAGTTAAAGAGTATTCACATTACTGTAACTCGCATATTTTCATGTTGCTTTCCAAAGGTTGGACTAATTCACAATGAGAACAGTGTAATAGCATACCTATTTTACCATAGCCTCACCAGAATTTCATTTTGTCATCTTTTATTATTTTTATCAATTGACCAAAGTCAGGTAGAAACTGAGAGTTCTTTTAATTTGCATTTCTTGAATATTAGAGATTTT